GCAATTGTACTCCCCCGAGACTATTCCATCTCTCAACCTGGTGCAAATGAAGATGGTCCATTCATTCCCTGTCCTCGACTCTGGAATGAGACTCCTGATTTCTTCTTACTGGCACCCTTCGAAAGCATTCCTCTCCAGGCTCTGCTAAAGAAACTTCCCTTGGAACCTTGGCCACTTGGCTCATATCTTCCCCTTTTTGTCTGTTCACTTGCACTTTCCATTTCTTTCAAATTAGCTTCCACAATCAGGGCTTTGCTGTATAATTCTGAAAATGTTGTTAATTCCAGCATCAACACACGAGATCTAATATTATAATGTAGCCCCATTTGGAATCTTTTGCATCTTTCCCCTCATCTGCGATAACAGAAGGCATAAATCTAGATAAAGTACTAAATTTACTCTCGTACTCTAGCACTGACTAATTCCCCTGCTGCAGATGTAAAAATTCATTTTGTTTCTGATATCGATAGCTCGATGGAAAATACTTCTTGTTAAAAGCATCTGTAAACTGCCACCACGTGTGGACTCTAGGAATTGAGCTGGCCTCCCCTTCAGTGCATACTGGCAGCAATGCTCTCTCCATAGCCTCCCACCAATACTGGGCCTCCTCTGCTAACATAAAAATGGCTAATAATAATTTATCCTCATCACCAATTCCCATCACCCTGAATATTTTCTCAAGGCATCGTAACCAATTTTCTGCCTCCAATGGACCTGCAGTTCCCGTAAATATTGGTGGATCACGCTTTTTAAATTGCTCATATAATGTACCCTTGGGCTTTACTGTTTCCATTTGCGTAGTATGTTGCTCAAAGTACTTAACTGTTGCTTCCTACAGTTGCCTAACTTCCCGATCACCAGGTTCCTCCTCCACCTGGGGTCTCTATCCCCTATCTCCAGCCCGAGTAGATGACCCTTCTCCCTCCATGTATCACTATAACAAATGTAAGTATTGCATATGGGTCATGATAGCATGCAGTATATATTCCACACACTCACACGGACCTCTAACACCCCACCTAACAGACCAATTCCTAAGTCCACTGTCACGCTAGACTCAACTTGACTATTGAATTATAAACTCTAGCTCTGATACCAACTAAATTGCCACGCCCCATCCCGGTCTCCCAAGGATGAGATGCGACTAGATTTTTAATACACCTGTTTACAATTATTATGAACTGAACTAATCAAACATGATATAATCTCATAGGTGCAACAACATCACTCATCACCTTAGTTATTAAGCATGATGGTAAAATATGTTTTATAACTTGTACCATATATAAACACATGTACCAATCATTTGTTTTTCAGGTTATAGACATACAAAATTTCACACCCACATAGCATACATCACAAAGTATGTTTGTTGAGTCTATTTACAAATATATACTATTAACCTGCCATAAATATCTCTCACAAATATAATACACAACCCAGAATTTAGTCATACTGACACTCAACCTGAGTGATATCACACTAATGTTATACAAGACTCAATCAACTGGACAGTGAACTGGTCTATATCCTCCTTTATAGTACCTGAACAGAAGAAGTTGTTGGGGTGTGAGCTAAACCACGCGTTCAATGAGAATACATGCTGTATATGAAATGAAAATGATAGTAATACACGGAAGTACATAGATACACGTATCAAACAACAACATCAATCTAATTCCAAAGAATTCACAAGTCACATCACGTCCATACTACCCCTCATCGAGTAATCGATTCCACATGGATCCGTGTCTCCCGAACCTCTCGGGAACACCATAGTGCTAGCACATCACTGCACGCCCAGTGACCAGGCATGGATGCCTCTGTCTCAAATAGTGCACCACATTCCACAATACACAGTATAAAGCATCATCCAATCACATAAGCACGTAGCACATAATCTTGGAGGATTGCTATTAAATTCTATCATTTACTATCATCTTATAATAGCATTTCCAAAACATATAAAGATATACACCCACCTCAGATGTACAAATTTACGGCCCTCCGATCCTATCAGTGGATCATTTCAGTGTCTCCGTACCTGTTCCAATACCGATTGTCTCACTCGTTCTACCTAACATATTTGTAATTACAATATCAATATGATTATCATATTTAATAATTAATCATGCACTAATGCATACAAATGATGCACCCCAAAGTGCCCCCCGGTAACCCTAGTTACCGCACTATCTATTCATACATTAGCACTTTTATTCTAGGGATCACATTTCCTCCTCAAATTCCCAAAATCAATCTCATTCATCACAATTAGGATTAAGTTGGTCAAACACATTGACCGGGGGCCCATTTTTACACATTTCGACCCGAATCCTAAAAACTACACTTCCGGCATTCCATACATTTCGTATCGGATATCATATTCATTTGCATTCGACATTCACATTCTCACATCAAGCATTATTTAAAAATGCTACATGCAAAATTTCAGGTCATTTGAATTACAATTCGCACGTGTGATAATAGCATTTAGAAATTAGAGTTTCGGCGTTACCGACACCCTTTCCCAATTTCTATCGTACTTTTCTTTTAAAATAATTATACCTAAACTCACACATTCACTAAATTATGAAAATTAGCCCCCCTAATTGCATTTTTAAATCACCCATTTCACTCCCATAATTTTGGTTCCAACCTAGCCCTCAAAAATATACTGAACATATAAAATAACTATTTTTCACATTTTTCTCATCTTTATTTTAATACCCATTTGGAACCTATTTTTAACAGTTCGTTAAGTATGCTAAATATATTTAATTACACCCATACAAAATCTGTTTTGACATTAACTAAATTAGCCCATAAGATTTAAATTAAAACAGTCTATTAAAATAAAACAGCTCAGGTATTTAAAGTCAAACAGCTTACTAATTAAAACATGCCTACATATATACAAATACGTACATACTAAAATTAATCGCAACTCAAAACTTAAATCCATATACCTTCCTTGCTCACGGTTTAAGTGAACACACGCGTATATTTTTTTTTTCCTTTCTTCCTTTCTTTTTCTCTTTCTTTTTTCCCCTTTATCTTTTGCTCACCTCACACTCCCGGCTTCAGACACACACACTCACTTTGTTTTCCATGTTACACACACACACACACCCTTTTTATATTTATTTAACACACACACACCTTACACCTTTAAACACACACACACACACCTACACACGGCACCGACTCACACACACACGGCACATTTTTTTCTTTGTTTTTTTTTTCCTAAGCCAACACGTGTAAAGGTTTGCATGTAATGGATTAATGACACTTGCCTCCCCCTAAGTTTTAAATAATTTCAAAATCGACCCACTAATATTTTTAGACATGAAAATTCTATAAATGGGTCTCACTAATACATCACTAATGGGATCCACATACCCAATGTATGCTCACTCACATCATGCTTATGAAAGATGTAATTTAATTAACCTTATAATAATTTTACATAATTACAATTTAACCCAAAAAATTATATTAATATACATGCAATGCGTGATTGGGTCTCACACAAACTCTTTTTTACATTACTGTTTTGTTTAATTGGTATTATTTTACATGAAATGAAGTTTTAGTCATTTATGTATAAAATATATGTTTTATTGATGCCCGATCATGTTAATTATCAATTTTCAAACTCGCATGTCTAGAAATTAAGTTACTTAATTGAGCCATTGATTCTTATATTACATTATTTTCTTCTTTTCAGATTAATTGGTGCCGAAGAAAACTGTGAATAGCGGACCTGTCAGCTTTTCTTTGTTTTTGTTGGTTGCGAGTGAGAGTTTGTAAAGTACGGAATTATAATAAGTTCTATACTGCTTTGTAACTTAGCTTTAGACAGAGTAGTTCTATTAGTTATGATCTTTTGTGCGTTAGTTGAGCTTTTAATAATGCCTGATTTATGTTATGTGGATTTGGCTTACTTATATCACGTTGTGTAGACATTAGTTACATTACATGCTTGTGCAGTTCGAGATAACATACGTCTCATCTCTGAGTGATTCCTTTGACCTGTTATTTTAGAATTTGTCATTTCCTATCTTTTAAATAGGAAATGACATGTTCTAAAACACTGATGTTTTAGATTGCTATAGTGATCGAATTTAAAGACTTAATCAAAGATTCAATTCAAAGTAACAATTGAATTAGTTATGAATCTCCCATCAACGAAGCCCCATTTTTCAAAAAGAAAAAAAAAAGATGGAGTCTAGTTCTAATCGACACCTTCAATTGATTAGGTCTCCTAGATTGAGCTTTTAAATTAGGTTCAAATAATATTTTTTTTTATCAAAATAGCATTTTCTAAAAAATTTAGCTTGGGTCTAATAATTTAAAAACTACAACATATGGATTTGTGGTCCCTTTTTTCCAAAAATAAAAAGAAGTTATACATGTGTGTGACTTGTACAGCCGGCGCGTGGCTGAATCACAAGCCAATAGCCTCCATTTACTAATTGGAACCCTAAGCTTACACATGATTGGATGATTAACAAGACCCGCGGGGCAAATTGCGTGGCGCCAAGCCATTTCCAGTCCAAACCCACTCTCATCACCCTCCCAATAAAACGCGCTTCAACACATCCCTCTCCTCCACCAATCACCAAGCGCGTGAGTTCTTTTCCTCCAGGCCAAAAAAAAAAAAAAAGCAACCCAAATTCACCTCCTCTTTCCCTGCATCAAAAGAAAATCCAAGACTACCAGAGATCTAGGCATCTGGCTTTCTCATCTCCCTTGTTTTGAACTCTCAAAATCTCACCTTCTCCTATCACACCCATACATAGAGAGAGAGAGAGAGAGAGAGAGAGAGAGAGCGAGAGAGAGGAGGGAGCTTTGGATCCAAGATTTACAGAGATCTAGCTTTCACATCTCCCCTGTTTTGAACCCTCAAAAACTCACCTCCTCTCATCACACACACACACATACATACATACATACATATATACGTATAGAGGGAGAGTTTGGACTTTGGAGAGATGAGCAGGTTAATGATGTTGTGGTTTGTTGTACTGTGTTGTTGGAGGAGTAATCTGGTACCGATTGCTGAAGCTATATGGCTGAACTTGCCGAGTTCGGGGACAAAGTGCGTGTCGGAGGACATCCAGATCAACGTTGTAGTTTTGGCAGACTACTCCGTCATCAACGATGGGACTTCTCATATGCCCACCCTCTCTGCCAAAGTAAGCACGCATCTCCATGAATCAAATTCAAATCATTATATTGTTTTATATGATAATATGACTGTTTTCATGTATCATATTGCTAATGATCATTTTCTTGAACTGATTTGAATGTAATTGTGGTTGCGTTTACACTGAAAGAAATTCATAGTTTAGAAAATTAGGACGAATCGATGGATTTTTATTTAGCAATAAAATGGATGGAGTCGGTCAATACGCTGATTGACATGTTAGGAATTGAAAATTTAGTAGTTCTTCGAGAACGAGCATAGATGAAAGTGTGGGAACCATACACTTAATACATAAAGGGTTTCAATTTTCCTCACCCATTAGTGTTGAGGTGTCTTCCAGTTTTATACATATGAAAGTTTTAGATACAAAATTCAAGATGATCTAGGATCATGGGACAGTTAGACAGTAATTACAAGATAGCTAAGATCAAGGGATAATCACAAGAGACTGAGATTATGGAATGGTTACAGCCAATAATACATTACCAAAATTTGGTGTGAAAAGAAACTAACGAAAAAGTACATTACCCAGCTTCGTCTCCTAGGCGTTAGTTGATGACCCCCCATGTATATTGACAGATTAACATAGAAGAAATTGTGCATAAGAAGTTGAAAGAAAATTACGAGGTGAGATGAAATAAAAGCAAGATGATAATATTGATTAAACTTGTTTCTGGGGAAATATTTGCTGACATAGAGAGTGTATACACCCGAGTTTGACTCTATGAGCTACGGTTTGTGACAAAATAGATATGTCGTTCAGAAAAATTCTTTTTGGATTTAATTTGTACAAGAGTAATTTAGTGACCAACGTGTGATGTAGCTACCTTATGGAGTGATGGAATCGGATTGACAATCAGCCTTAAAAGATCTGTGTGAAAGATTGGTAGAAGCTTGCAAGTAGGAAGAGTTAGGCATAAACATGGGGAAGTGGGAAGCAAAAAATGGGGAAGAACTTATGCCACTTGTTCACTTTCCTTGCAAGTTGGGTACAACTGGCAAACAAGAATAATAAGGCTTCGATGCCTTTGTAACAAGAACATATTGCTTAAGAAAGTTGGAAGGCTCAGGGTCACGACTCCCAATTGGCACTGTGTTATCAAGTCCCCATCCAAATTATAGGTTGCGAGACTGTTGTAGCTGGTGTTCTCAAACATGTGTAGTATTCTAAAAAGTAGAATTCAAGTTCTAAACATATGTAGTATTCCAAAAACTGTTCTGAAAGACGTGTTTTGCATTGAGCATTATAAGCATGTGAATTGTTATAGATGTTGAGCAGATGCTTGAGGATAACCTACATTGTAGCTTATCTTTTATGAAGATGAAAAATGGAGAAGCTGTTGCATTTGGTGGGCTGGGTAGTTAAAGTGTATAGAGGGCATTATGTTGTTGTGCTGGTCAAGTTGTTTTGGTTAAATTTACTTCCAAAATTTATTTCATATGGTCTTATATAGTTGTAGTCGAAAGCACTATAAGGGCAAGAGGAGTCGTTGTTTTACATTTCTGTATCATTGGGAAATGCTACTTATACACCAAGAAAAAGAAGTCCGTGCTACTATAAGGCCTCTAGGGTCAAATGTATGCAGCCTTATCTCTTGCTTATGGAGAGACTCTTTCCATGAAATTAATGATAGGTATGCTTTTAGAAAATAAAATGAGCAAAAGCTTCACTATTTTAGCTAAAGTAGTCGGAATCAATTTTCGATCTAAAATATGGAATGATGAGATCCATAAGGATTGGACCACTATTTCGTTCATTTGTTATAAGATAGTATTTCATTTTTACCCATGTGATCAACATGCAAGAAGTTGTAAGATGTGATTGAATCCGTGTGGAAAAGGAAGTTGCACTGAGAGAATATTATCATGACTTCTATTTCAATATTGTGAAAGTGTGCTAAATAAAACCAATATGATGAATTCTTGACTTAAATCTGTTGCACCATGCTTTTGTATATAGAAGCACATACACGAGCATAGGAAATGGCAACATTGACAAGATACAGACATGATGATGCAATATTTCTTAAAAAAATAGGTTTGTGTATGTATATGTAGACTGGATACAGCGCAGACTTGTTAATATATGTATATATCAAAAAACTTGCAAATCCTAATCAAGTACAAAATTGGTTTATTATTTAAACTTTCAAATATTAGCCAACTTCATAGCATTCTTTCAAGATCAATACAACAAAGTTATGCTATCAAAATTGAAGAAAAAAGTTTAATGAAAGGAAATAAGGATTTTTAGTTATATTGATATCCTTCGACAACCACTTGAGGCCGCTGAAGGATGATATAGTTCGTTGGATGCCATGGCCACAAAGGAATAACTTTTAGTTTCTTCTCTTTTTTTTTTTTGTCTCTCCCCTTTTTTGTTGTTTTAGATCTGAGTTAGTTTCTTTTCCATGTCTTCTTTTCTTTCTTTAGAATTTATTGCTGTTTGTATTTGAATCTGCAAGGGTTGAAAATCCAGAATATGTATCTCACTTGTCCAAAGTTCGAAATAAAAAATCCAAACACTTTGTAATGCCACAGTTTGGTTCATGAGCTACTTCACAAACTTTGGGAAGAGGGGAATGGTGGTTGTCTATGCACATTTTCCAAATAAAGGAAGTATATTCCCAATAATGTCTTGCTATTTCGATCTGGAGATCTCTGTGTGGACGGATATGGAAGCCCTCCATAGATGAGTTGAGAATATTGGGTTTTGTTTTTGTTGTTTTTTTTTTTTTTTGGGGGGGGGGGGGGGGGGGG